TAATTAAACTAAAAAGCTTCTGCACAGCAAAAGAAACTACCATCAGAGTGTTTTTTCACTGAATCCATAACAGCACTAGGTGGCGTCTTAAGCTCAGGAATGCTGTGACTCTTGTCAACTCCTAGAGGCACTGCTTTGGTGGTGTTGAGTAATATAAGGGAAAGTTTCCTGGGTCACTAGGTAAAGTACGTCACTCTCTTCTCTCTCTTTCCCCCAATATGAAGGAGTCTGTTTTTATGCTGAGTTGTCTAGAGTTGGGAAAGGGGTGACATGTGTACTCCTGTGGACACTACAGCTGGGAAAGTGCTAGATTAAACATTAAGCTAGCACAGTACTGAGTCTCATCCAAGGCTCATGGCAACTACTGCCTGACTTATGTTTATAGGAGACTCAAGTGCTCTTCAGTCTGAAGGTGGGGAATCCTCCTGGTACTGGGTTCTTCCCTTCAGTACAGTCAATTCCCTTCTGACTAGAGTGGGTCTAGAAAGACCATAGAGGAGCTAAGGCCTGTTATTGGGGGCTTCAGGGATCTCCTTGTTGCTTCATTTTACTATAGCTAAGCTGGTACCCAAGTTGCAAGACAAAATCCTCTGTACTCTTCCCACTCCTTTCCCAAAGCCACAGAAGTCTCTTCACCAGCTACATTGCCTGGAGTTAAAGGAAGGGTGATGTATGCACTCTTTTGGCCACCACAGCTGGTGTTGCACTAGGTTGGGTGCATCCAAAATCAATTGCCTCTGAGAGAACAGTGTAGCTCCAGGGTTTTTCCAAGGACTATTAGTCCTTGTGGCCTGATGGTCACTCAAATTTGCTTCAGGCCTAGGGCCATGTTAGTCAGCTAGTGGTAGAGCCAGCCAGGACTCCTTTCACTGGAGCTTAGAATTTTCCTCATTCAGAACCACTATAAATGTTCCCTGCTTTGGTGCTAGCATAATTTTTCACTATGTTGCATACCAGTGGGACAGGGCAAGACTGGGTTCCAATGCAAAGTAGCCCATTCACTTAACTCACAGTCCTGTAAGCAAACAAATTGTCTTACAATGAGGTGCTGATGGACAATGGGGGAGGGTTGGTGTAGGCAATACAAGACCATCTTTCCTACACTCTTCAATGACTCTTTTATTGATATTTTGTTAAAACCAGTGATTGTGATTGCTGACTTTATTGGTTATTATGAATGTGCTTTATTGCATGCATAGTTGTTTAATTTGGTGTTCTTTCAAGGAGACTGATTGCTGAAGCATTCTATTCAGCCATGCTGCTCTGCTTCCACTTCCCTATAACAGGTTTATTGAGTTATAATTCATATACCATGCAATGTGCCTATTTAATGCATACAATGTAATGGATTTTAGTACATTCAGAATTGTGCAACAATCATCACAATTTTAGAATATTTTCATCATTCCTAAAAGAGACCTCATACTCATTATCAGTCACTCTACAGTCCACTTGCCCCTCCATAGCCTTAAGTAACCAGTAATCTACTTTCTGTCTCTATAGATTTGATTATTCTGGATATTTCATGCAAATAGTCTCATAAGTGTGTGGTGTCTTGTTACTGACTTCTTTCACTGGGCACAATGTTTCAAGTTTTATCTATATTGTATCATATATCAGCACTTACATTGTGTGACTAATATTTTATTAATAAATTTTATTTATGTATTCATCAATTGACTGGTATTTGGCTGTTATGCATAATCCTACTATAAAACTTTTATAGATATTTTTGTCTTTACTATTTTGAGAAAATATTCTTGTATTTTATTTCTCGTTTTCAATCTCAGGAACCTGTGAAATTTGTGGATTTGCTTGGTGACCATGGGAAACATGTCAATCCTCTGTGGGAGTTGATCAAATGGTGCCTGGGTCTGTCAGTGTACACCATCCCTTCCATTGGTATGTAAATCATCTTCTACCTAGACCAGTTTGATGTCCTGTAATATTTCTTAATATCTAAATATAAATTTTTGACTAAAAGCCCCATGCAAGTACAAAATCCAGGGGGGCAGTGAAATCTTAAAGCTCCAAAATGATCTCCTTTGACTCCATGTCTCTAATCCAGGTCATGCTGATGCAAGAGGTGGGTTCCCGTGGTTATGGGCAGTTCCACTCCTATGGCTTTCCAGGGTATAGCCTCCCTCCAAGTTGCTTTCATGTGTTGGCGTTGAGTGTCTGTGGCTTTTCTGGGTGTACTGTGTAAGCTCTCAGTGGATCTACCATTCTGGGGTCTGGAGGACAGTGGCCCTCTTCTCACAGCTCCACTAGGCAGTGCTCCAGTGCCCACATTTCCCTTCCACACTGCCCTAGCAGAGGTTCTCTATGAGGGCCTTGTCCCTGCATCACACCTCTGTCTGGGCAGTCAGGCATTTCCATACAAACTGTAAAATCTAGGCAGAGGTTCTCAAACATCAATTCTTGATTTTTGTTCACCCACAGGCCCAACACCACATGGAAGCCACCAAGGCTTGGGGCTTCCATCCTTTGAAGCAATTACCTGAGCTCAACCTTACCCCTTTTAGCCATGATTCCAGCCATAGCTGGAGGGGCTGGAATGCTGGGCACCAAGTCCCTGGGCTGCACACAGCAAGAGGGCCCTGGGCCTGGTCCACGAAACCATTTTTCCTCTTAGGTCTCTGAACCTGTGATGGAAGGGGCTGCCACAAAGGACTCTGAAATGCCCTGGAGACATTTTCTCCATTGTCTTGGAGATTAACATTTGGATCCTCCTTACTTATGTAAATTTCTGCAGCCGGCTTGAATTTCTCCTTAGAACATGGGTTTTTTCTTTTCTATCCATCGTAAGGCTGCAAATTTTTCAAACTTTTATTCTGTTTCCCTTTTCTGAGGGACTTGCTCTCATGTCCAGGCTGGAGTGCAGTGGTGCAATTATGACTCACTACAGCGTTGACCTCCTGGGCTTAAGCAATCCTCCTGCCTCAACTCCTAAGTAGCTGGGACTACAGGGTCTCACCACCACACCTGGCTAATTTTTGTATTTTTAGTAGATATGGGGTTTCATCATATTGCCCAAGCTGGTCTTGAACCCCTGGGTTCAAGTGATCTGCCAGCCTTGGCCTTGAGAAGTGCTGGGATTACAGGCATGAGCCACCGTGCTCAGCTATAATGGGTTTTCAATTATGTGAACAATCCTTATGATGTACTATGCAGTAGCAGAGGCTAGAAATGTTATATGTAGCATTACTAAAACAAACTAGAAGGAGTTAAAAGTAAATGATTGACAATGGATGGTAAGATTATAAAGTTTTCTTTTTCATCACTTACTTTCTCAGTGTTCTATAATGAACATGTATTACTTGAATAAGGAAAGATAAAAAACACTATGAATTAAAATGAAGTTTATTACCTTAATTTGATATATGTTATCATTCTGTAGGGCTGGCTTTGTTGGAAGAAAAGCTCAAATATAACAATGAGAAATACCAAAAGTTTAAGGCAGTGGAAGAAAGCCTGCGTAAAGAGCTGGTGGAGATGTTAGGTGATGATGGTGTATTCTTATATCCCTCACATCCCACAGTGGCACCTAAGCATCATGTCCCTCTAACACGGCCTTTCAACTTTGCTTACACAGGTACCTAATTGTATTCCTTGCATTCTGTAATCTTAAAGAAATAGAGATGTATGTTTCCAAGGAAAACATAATTTTCTTTTGCAGTTGGACAAGTTTTAAACATGCAGGTATAAAAATGTTGTGTGATTGAAAACTCCAGAAAACAGTTGCTAATGTCATATGTGGAATATACTTTGCCAATATCTGGTTTCTCCCCAAAACCCTACAAGTGCATATGAGTATCCACATTTTACAGAACTGTGCCTCAGGGAGGTTCAGCCACTTGTCTTCTATCACACAGTGTGATCACACTAGATGCAAAGTCTCCCCTGGCTGCTCTGAATTAAACCAAGTTAAGCTTTTCTCAGGATCTCTGGCTTCCCAGAAGATTCTCGAAAAAAAAAGACAATTCTCCAAGAGATCGTTTACTTGCCTTAGCTATCATCCCCTTTGAATTCAATTCATTCTATTGTTCACCAAACTAGTTTTCCTCACCTAGTTTTTAAGCTATGGATGGATCATGATTATGTGAGGTCTAAAGGCCCATGGATCCGTACTAGGTCAGTTTCTATGGTTTCTCCAGGGTCTTGTCCCAGGGAACCACACTATTCTTTGTGATGAAGATAGAAAAGTCTTCATCAAATACGCATTCTCACCCAGAAAACCTGTGGTCCACTTAAAGTTGGAATTTGGAATCCTTTGCTCTGCAATTTTCTACTTCTGCATCTTAGAGGAAAACATTGAATGTTTCTCAACTTATTTCCTATCTAGGAAGTCAGGGTAATCTATGCCTTGCAGTGTTGCTGTTAAGATTAAATGAAATAATACATGTAAATTAATTAACATAAGGGTTGTGGAGGATGAGAGAGAGGACATTAAATAGTCTCTATCCTTAATTTCCTCACCCTTACTCTCTCCCTGGCTTTGGTCACTCACTCTTAATTTCTTCTTTCCTGTCTTCCTGTCTCTCTCTCTCTTTCTTTCTTTCTTTCTTTCTCTCTCTCTCTCT